TTTTAAGTGGATACAAAATGATTTCAGCAATGCAGACAATTAAGTACATTGTTGTCAGCAATGGTGCTATGGGCAAAATATCCTACACAACAAACAGATTTCCATCTGAGTATATAGCACTGTTCCTGACAACGATGCAGCCACAGTTGTGGTGGTGGAGAGTATATTCCCTTGGACTCCCTGACTCTGTGGGACAAGGGGACCGTGACAGGTTGCAGCTGCTGAGTGAATATCCCCAAACAGATGTATTTCTAGTCGGTTTTAGTGTCCTCATTCAAAAAATGAGTTCAAAGAAGCCTTTCTTGCTTGTCAGGACTCACATTGATCTCAGGGATGACCCCTCTGCTACTGACAAACTTGTCAAGAGCAACCAGAACAAACGGAAGCCTGTCACTCCAGAGACTGCTGGAAGGCTGTGCACGGGTGGAGGGCTCTGCACTCACCCACAAGGCCTGAAAAGTGTGCTGACAACACAGCACCAGCTCCTTAAGCCTGCAGAACCGAAGAGCCACAGGTGTGAGCTGCCAGGAACATCCCTCCAAAGCCCTTTCTGCACAGCTGGGGCCAGCATCAGACTAAACGCAATGTTAAATCAAACTAAAGTTTGATTACCAACGTTTGTTTCCTGGAGTCATGAGAAAAGCCCTGCACCCACCCATGTCTAGTCATGTAAGTTGAGGAACACTGTTGTGCCTAACTTTGAGTAGTTGTTTATTGTCAGAAAAGTGATCATCACTTACTCATTTTGGTGTTTGTTTAAAAGTAAGCATGCTCGTCGTGACTCTCTAACCCACTAATTGAAACTCTTGAAGAAATTCCTTGCTCCCACTCTATGTTCTAGACCTATTATATGTCTAATAGACCATATAATAGGAGCTATAGATGAAAGTCATGTGTACTTTTTAAATTTCTGGTAGTTGCATTTCAAAATGTTTTTAAAAACAAGTGCAATTCATTGTAATATTTTATTAGCTTAACATAGCCAAAATAGTACCATGTTTACCTGCAATCTGTATAAAAACTCTAATGAGGTATTTTATGTATTGTTTTGTACTGTCTTGGAAATCCAGTGTGTTTTTACAATTAACAGCCATATCATTTCAGACTCTTTACCCTTCAGCACCCCACAGCCACATCTGGTTAATGGCTACTGTCTGGGACAGTGTGGGTCTAGTCTATTAGAATACTTAATGTCAAACTCTAGGTAAAGCAGAGTATTATCCATGGATTACGAAGGTAGGTCCTATCTGGAATGAACTGACAAGCCCTAACCCCTAAGCAAACTCGAAGTCATATATGGGTGTGCTGGTCTTGACGCCAGCTGCCAGTTCCTTCACATCCACGTGGTCCAAGCAGTTTTCTGTCCTGATGCCTTTCATGCTGTTGTTCCCTGAAGGACTGGCTGAATCCCTCTCCAAAGCAACTTGAGGTCAGATGTTTAACATGGCAATATGTTGACCATCACATCTCCCAGACAGGCCTCATCCAGAAAAAGCAACAGAGACTTTTCAAACATCCTATGGTCCTATAAGCAGATACTTGGTTGAGACCCCTTTCTGGGCCCTTCAAAACTCACCTCGGAGGCTGTCCTAGTAAAGAGTGGAGGACCAGAAAATGATCCTGAAAGTAGAAGGTTAGGGCTCCTGCTTCTTGTTGTCCAAAAGCTTGGGAACTTGTGCCCAGTGCAGTGTGGGGGCACCAAGTGTAGTGAAGGTTGAAGGCTGGCTCTGCCTCACTGCACTCCAAACCTGCCACAGGAGGCCCAGTGCCTTGCTGCCCTGGTTCCATTAGGACGGACATGATTCTCTGTCCTTCTCCCCTCAGAAGCTCTGAGGAGTAGGATGGAGCTTCTTTTAGCAAATTCATGATCACTAGTAAGGTGGGCAAAAGCACAGTGAGGAGGTAAGATCCGACCTCAGGAAGTCCCCTTCCAGAGAGAGAGGAGCTGGTGCTGAGGGCCTGGCCCAAGACTACCCAGTCTGAGGTAGGTGAAGAGTCCTGCCTTTTCCAGAGGAGCCTGAGCTGAAGGGTCCTGAGCTCTGCCCAGAGGAGCCCCTATGCAGGCTGGGGAGGACAGACTCATATATAGGGCAAGAGGGACTGGTGGGGAGGAGCTGGGCTATGCAGGTTTGTCCTCCAACATAGAGGTTATAGGTCAGCTAGGCTGGAACAATCAGAGAAAGGAGGAGGAGTGAGATGGACAATATCCAGGGACATGCTTATTTAGGAGCACCAGAGGAAAAACAGTGTGAGAAAGCCCTACATGGGACAAATGGAAAAAGTTCTCTCCATTTCTTTCCATCCCACCACTGCCCTTGCTGGTGCTTAAAATGGGGCTTTGAAATCTGTCCTCAGCTGGATGCCCACCAAAGCTGATGGTGCCTAGGCTGGTGAGAAGTCCCAGGCCTACCCGTCGTCCACCCCAGGTCCTCATGGATATTACCCCTGCCTCCCATGCCAAGAGCTCCTCACTGTCCCCCCAGGAGGAGCCAAAGACTCCAAGGATCTGGGATCCTGCCTGAGCTGCCCTCCTCCAGGCCAGAGTCTCTGGGGTCTCTAGACACAGCCACATTTGACCACCATCTTGAGGCCAACATGATGCATTTATTAGAAAGACTCACAGCCTGGCTTCCCCAGAAGGGACCAACTCTAATGTGGACATTCAGCCTGGGAGCAGGACTGACCTTGTCCCCCACAGGGCACTGGGCCAGGACATCATGGTGTGGAATCCACAACTCCATGTCCAGCCACTCAACTCCAACCTGAGGAGGATGGGGGGCTGGCCCTCAGGGAGCTTGATTGCTGTCTTCTGATCATCTCAATTGCTTCACGGCAGTATTAGAGGGTGGGGGGGTCCAGTCTCAGAATCTGGGCATTGAGAATCGTGTTCTTGTCCACTTCCTTAGTCCCAGCACAAGACAAGTTGTCCTCAGTCATCTTGTTGTGATTTCTGCTTGTGACGGAGCTCTCAGAGAATAAGCCCTGAGACGTATCTTTCTGGGAACTAGGAAAAGTAGCAGCTCTGAGGCACCTTCCTCTGTGCCCAATTCCCGAGAGGTGGGGCTTTCTCCCTCCCACAGGTCCCCACTCTGGCTTCACTAGGAGCCCAGGAAAGAACCTCACCTCCAGGTTCATCCCTGCTCCATCTAACAACCCCAGCCAGACCCTTCTCTTTTCTGTGTCCTTGGGTTTGGTCTA